ACACACATACACGCACATATACACACACATACACACACGTACACACATATGGCTAAGCATGTTTATCACGGTGCTCAACCTTCTTTCAAATTTCAAAGTTCTATAGATTAACACCACCACCCCCATTTTATACAGATGAGGAAACAGAGAAGAAGGGAGGTTGCAGAGCTTGTCCCAAAACACAGGATTACAAATAAAGATCCAGTTGTTCAACTCTTTCCAGGAGATTCCAAGTCCTTTGCATCAGGATGAGCTCCTGCCCTAGACAGGAAACACCTGTTCCACATGACCTTGGGAGGATCCATGTCCCTGTCTGTGCTCAGCCTCCCATCGGGGACATGTCAAGGTCAGGCCTGGCTTTCCTGATTCACTTCTGCTGCAACCCTCCTGTCTCACTTCAGGGGACCAGGGTAGGTGAAGTAGATTGCCTACTTTGTGCATGCAGCATGTCCTGCTGGAAGAGACCAGAGAGGGAGGTGAAACCATCGCGGGAATGCCTGGAGCACCACAGAGCGGAGCCACCGCCTGCAGCCCCAGAGCTGGGGATCCTAGCCAAGCCCCTGCACACGAATCGCTCGCAGCATATGCTCCTCATTTCATACATCATTTGCAGGGAGCTCTTCCTGCTCCAAGAGCAACTGGGCTTTAGCTTCTGTCTTTTCTGCTCCAGCTCCTGCCCTCTGCACTGTCCCGCACACCGCCATTAGCCGACACTGACAATGTCATCCCATAGGTTTGTGAAATCGCAGTTGCAGTAAGTCTGGCTGCTTCCTCAGGGTGGGCTCCATGTCATAGAGAGTATGTAAGATCAGGGCTGGAGGAATACACACGCCCAAAAGGGCCTCCAACAACGTAAGTAAGGACACACTGGGACTCTTATCGTACCTTGCACACCTCCAGATGAGGGTTTCCATAGGGAAGGGCCGGCAGAGCCGTATGGGGGATGCCCACAGCAGGGCTGGTCCAGAGCACCGCTGTGAGGTTTGGCATCACTGTGTCCAAAGGACTCAGAACAGAAGTGATGCCGCTGTTGGGCATCATATAAACATGGCCATGTGCAGATCGTCAGGCCCACACCTTACACAGTTATCTCTGGTAGGGACTGAGCTCAGGACACTTCATGTACCCAACAAAACCAAATGATAGATCCAACACTGCCAAGGACTCCTGCTAGCACTGCCCTCTCCCCAACAGCGGACATCAAGGACATGATGGAGATGGTCACATGACCCACATAAGGCTCCCCCAACTCCTGCCACCTTGCCAAATCCATCTTCCCTAAATTCTCTCTCTCAAAAGCTGGGCCCAGAGCTCAGATCTCCATGCATACGGTCATCTAGGATTCCTGGATTTCACCTGCCTCGCTGCAGTGGACTCCTGCTGAGGCTAACATGAGGCTCCAGTCTAGAGGGGCCAAGCATGGCACCATTCTGTCCTGGAGTGTCACCTTCAGGCCCTTCAAACCTAAGCCAAAGGACTTTGATGGTTCCAGGAGCCCCCTGCAGGAGACAGAAGGGCTGCAACCCAGAGTCCAGGGTTCTGACTTTCTATGGAGTGTGAAGACTTGCTTTGTAGCCAGTGGAGACAGCAGGGGACCAAGTCACTAAGGTCCCACCCTGATTGTACTGTCAGCCCAGTAGAGATGAAAGCCAAAAGCAGTCAACTCAGCAGATAACTCAGGTTGTTTCAGGTAGGGAGAATATAAAAATACAAAAAAAAAACCCCACTGCAACACAAAATTGGGCCCTTCAGTTTCCTCCCTTGACATCACAACCCCAGTCTTTTGCCCTCTGATCTGCCCTATGTGGGTTGAGCCATAGGGGGCATGCCTCGGGGCTGCCCTGCCAGTCAGCTCTAGCTGGGCTAAGCCATGGGAGACTGTAAAGGGAAGCCTTTTCCTGGAGAGAAGCCTTCCCGCCAGCCTGGTTCCAGAGCCGCATCAGTCCCAAATAAAAACACAGGAGGCTATATTAATTATGAAGCTGTTGGCCTTGTTTGTTTCTTACTGGCTAGCTCTGACTTAAGTATTTATCCCATAATTGTTAATCTAAGTATTTCTCTTACCAGAGAGGTTTCCGGGCTTCCTACCCCATGGCGTTACATTTTGACTCTCTGTTTTTTCCATCTTTACGTGGCTTATTTATTTATCTATTATTACTTTATTTCTTTTACTTTTATTTATTTTTCTCTGAGACAGGGTTTCTCTTTGGAAACCTGCCTGCCTCTGCCTCTGAAGCAATTCCTACCGGCGTGCGTCACCACAGCCGGCTTCTCTGTTTACCACTATGGGTTTCCTTTTCTCTCTCAATCTTACATATATTTTTAAACACACTGTAAACCTTTAGGGGTTTTTCTTCATCCAAGTCTGACTTTACTGTAAATCTTTATGTTTTTCTGGCCACGTGTCTTATCTGTTAAAACCGCAGCTGTTTAAACTGCCGTTTTTCCAAGATGGCGGGTGTAAGCGTGACTCCGGCTGCCGGCTCGGAGATGTGGTCACTGCCACTTCCAGCTGTGCTTACACACCTTTCATTGTTAGCAGAGCCTCTTAAAAGAACCTTGCTGGTTTTTTTTTTTAAATGCTGAGTCAGGAAGACTCGAAGACTCCCTTAAGCGAGTCTCTGCTTGTCGCTAGCAAAACAGAGCCCACCTGAGAAAAATGCTGCTACCAAAAAGCTCATGCTCTTCTCCATTCTTTTGTTTCTAAAATTCCCTTAAATCTTTTGTCGTTCTACGTGGAAATTCATCATCACACTCTGCTGGGCTCTTGATCTTGACATCCCCTCTCTCAGGCCTGGGTCTCACAGCTTCCTCCCATCACCAGTCACTGTACCCCTCAGATGGACCACGACTCCAAGTTTCCAGCTGCATGCCCTACCTTCCTGTTAAACCTCCAAAGGACAGACCTGTAGCTGGGACATAATGTGCAGGGGACAGGGCATGGACGGGTGTGTTCAGGGACTAGAAAGATGAGTGGTGTGGCTGAGGGTGGAGGATGAGCAGGAGCTGGGAAAAAGATGAAGCGGTGGTCAGACTATTCAGTGACTGGCTCAGCAGGGGTCTAAAGGGACCTCAACTATAAACTGGATCCTTGAATGATTCCCGCAAGGGAGTGAGACGTGCCACTTGCTAGAAACCACAGGCTCTGTAGAGAGAGCTGCCAGAAAGAGGCTGGGACCTCCCACCAAAGATGGAACCATGAGGAAGGCACCTGGGAAGCCACACCCAGACTCCGGACTCCCTCTACACATGGACCACCCAACCAGAGAATTCCTGTGGGCGACCTCTTGTCTTAGTTACTTTGCTGTGATAAAAGACCCTGATGAAGGCAACCGAAGGGAGAAAGGGCTTGTTTAGTCTCGTAGCTCCAGGAGAATTCAGTCCATCGTGGTGGGGAAAGCAAGGTGGCCGGCAGGGAAGGCACAGCAGCAGGAGCAGAAAGCTGGCTGGTCACACTTCAGCCACAATCAGGAAACAGGATAAAGCACTGCTTGCCGTCATTCAACTGACTTTCCCCATCCTACATCAACGAAGATCCCCTGCCCAGGAGACAGTCCTGTCCACAGTGAAAATGGCTCTTCTCACATGGGTTAACGTAATTAAGATAATCTCCCAAAAGCATACCTGGAGGGCCTGCTCTCAGGTGACTCTAGACTCTGACAAGTTGACAATCAGCTCTACCCATCACACCTCCCAAAACCTGGAACAGAGTAAGCAGTGGGACCCAGATGGCTGGATGAAAGTGAAAATGGGTCAGCCCTCAGGCCGTGGTGAGCACCATGGACCTGCAGCTGAGCACTGTGGGACAAGCGTGATGGGGTCTTCACCTCAGTTCAAGACAAGGAAGTGGTAGGCTCTGCTCAGGACATCTTGGATCAGAATCCTCTCTGAAGAGTTCTGTGGAGACACCTAGTAGGCAACAGAAAGTGGAAGGCCAGCTTCCTGGAGCTAACAAGCTCGTGGCCTCAGTCAAAGGAGAGGTATAAACCTACTAGACCAGGATCCCACAGGCATGGCTCACAGGACCATTGCAATGGGGACAGAGTGTGTATCTCTTTGTAGGAACCGTCAGGAATGCCTGAAGTTTTCATAGCCAGCCACAGAGCTCCAGTGCAGAACTACAAACAAGGAGCTCACCCTTCCCAGACACAGCCAGACCAGACTAAGAAGTGGGGGAGGCTGATGGAGGCTCCCCACACACTAGCACTTCCTTCCCTGGTATGAGTCCAGATGACAATACAGAAGAAACACAAATAGTTGTATATGTGCCCCTCCGCAGAAGGGAGAGTCCCCAGCCTAGGGTGACAAACCATAGACCAAATGAACCCTGCTAGATCTTAGAGATGCTTGGTGTTCACAGACCTGCCACCGGACAGTACCTGTAAAAGAATGAGAGGTTCCGATTCCCTCTTCAGAATGATGTGGATTGTAAGCATCCCTTGGCTTGGACTCGGGAACCCTGGGCTGGAATAACAGCTGTGCATGTAGGAATATAGAGACGTTACGAAGACAAGAGGGAGAATGGCTGTCTGGGCTGAAAGGTCAACCCAGGCACAGGCTCTGTACATGTGCCTGCCATTCTCTTTCATGATATGAAAAGTCCAAGTCAGGTTTTATGCTCTCCGTGGAAGAAGCTGGGGCTTGGAGAAGTACAATCCATGTTGTTCCTGCAACTGGTCACAGCAGGCTCAGGAGACAAGCCCAAGACTCTAGGGGCAAAAGCCTGGGCCATCCACCCCCTAGGCCCCCAAAGCTTGAGTTCCCTCTGTAGCCCTGGAGACCCACAAAAGAGCTCAGGTTACTCTGGGCCCTGCAACTGCTGGCCTCCATCTCCACTCATCAGTCTCCTTCTAGCCTCGCCAGGCAGAGGCTGGATCCTGCCTGCTGCATCCACTAAACAGAATGGAGTGGAGCTCCAGCTGTACAGAGAACATGCATACCTTCATTAGACTTAAATTATTACTTTAATAACCTCAGGGAGGAGGTGGTACTTCCCGGGACCAGTCTGTCAGCAACCCCCCTGAGTCCTGAAGAGCTGAGCACCGCCTCAGAACACCAGGCACTCCTGTCCAAAATTTCATGTCCTAATGCATTTTTCCTTCCTCTTTCCCAAGACCACAGCAGGGGGCATCTGGCCTGGAAGTTTCATCTTCCAACAATAAGCTATATGGGGCAACCTTGAGCCCTGGGGCTCTTCTGACAGTTGACCTATGTGGGCTCTGGCTTCACCTTCAGAAGGAGATCCAAGCTAAACACAGGGGGAACTGCACCTCAGAGTGCACACGACCTCCTGAGAGCTACACAGCCCGCTAAAGGAAGCACGGGGGCTCAAATTTAAGTGCATACAAGGCTTACACCCCACTCGATGTCTTCTTGACCACTTCATCAGGTGGCCTCGGTGTCTTTTGTCCGTCTTGCACAAAGGGACAGGTGCAATCTCACCTGGGAAGAAATAGTTGGCATTGTCACTCACTGGCTCTGCAATTTGAGCCAAATTACCCCACTTGTCTGTGCCTGCAATTCTCCTGTCATCCAGGATGTTAGGTCACTGTGAACCTTGAGTGAGATGACAAAGGTGAAAATACTCTGTGGATTGCAAAGTGTGGGTCACATCAAAGGCTTGGAAGCTGAGGGAAAGACGGGATCCAGAAGACGAGGCAGGCCTCAGCTGTGGAGCAGCAAAAATGGGGGAGGAGCATGGGCTGGGAGACTGGGAATGAGTGCTGGCAGATTCTAAGTGAGTTGGGAGGGACCAGGCGCCTGTGGTGTGGGAGCAAGAACCCTGAGTAGGTGAGTGGTTCAGGAAGATACAGGCACTCTGTTGGGACACAGGACGCTGGGGTAGGGGACCAGGATCCGATTCTTCTCCAGGATAAAGCAAGAAGTAGCCAGGCTCTCTGTGACTGACCTGTGTCCTGCACTGGCCACATCGTGAGCTCTCTGACCCTCAGCCCTCTCTGTAAGTGAACCTGATAAAATCCACTTTACAGTCAATGTCAGGCCAGGCAATAACATTTGAAAAGTGCTCCGCCTGTGGCTGGTATTCAATAGCCACCATCCACTGTTACAGGAATGCCTTCCAAGGTCCTAGTACCTACGAGCCTGTGCTCTAGGCTGTGCAGTAGACAGCAGATCTGTGTCACAGTGTTCTTGGGAATCTAGAAGGCTATACATGGCCTATCTGAGACTGCTTAAGCACAGAACCTGACCCCAAAAGGGCATCCTCAAGGCATGGACACCTCCTGAAACCTCTCTCCATCAAAGACCCTGAATACCAACATCCATAGGAACAGCACAGCCCTCCAGTGGGAGTTCCTCAAATTAGGAAGAGAGCAGAGGCTCCTCCCACAGCAGACAGCAGACACAGCCCCTCCCACAGCACACCAATGTTGGCCTAGTCCTTCTAACTGAGAGGCCTGGGCACCCTCAGGCCCTTGCCCTCCCAGAAGCCCCAGCAGTTGTGTTTGAAGATGAGCAACCCAAGCTTCACCCTCTACATGTTCCCCGGCTCAATTATCTTTTCTGTTTAATCCCCAAATCAATATGTGTTCATACATATTTAATCGGGAGACTGTTTTTATTAGAGTGGGGATTAGTTTTACATCTTTCTCCCCACCGATTAGAAGCCATGCTCCATTCATGAAGGAGACGGATAGAAGAATGAAAAGGAAAGCCACGTGCAGGCGGGGTCCAGGCCCCCAGTCAAGGTGAAAACAGAGAGCCCCATTCATGGGGCCACGTCTCTCCGGCACGGACCTGGGGTCTGGCTGCCTCTAGCTCCCTCTGTGTGTGTGTGTGTGTGTGTGTGTGTCTGTCTGTCTGTCTGTCTGTCTGTCTGTCTCTGTCTGTCTGTCTCTGCCTGTCTCTGTCTCTGTCTCCGTCTTTCTCTCTGTCTGTCTGTCTCTGTCTGTCTCTGTCTCTCTCTCTCTGTGTCTGTCTGTCTGTCTCTGCCTGTCTCTGTCTCTGTCTCTCTCTGTCTGTCTCTCTGTCTCTGTCTCTCTCTCTGTATGTGTGTGTGTCTGTCTCTGTCTCTCTCTGTCTCTCTGTCTCTCTGTCTCTCTCTGTCTCTGTCTCTGTCTCTCTCTCTCTCTCTCTCTCTCTCTCTCTCTCTCTCTCTCTCTCTCTCTCTCTCTCTCTCTCTCTCTCAGGTCTATAGCCACAGCCGACTTCCCACACCCAGTTTCTCCAAAGGTCCTGGCCTTGCAGACCTGTTCTCTATGAGGCAGAACAAGGACAAGCTCTTAGCTGGAGGTCAGAAAGGGGGCCCCACCACTGCAGGCTCGCCTTCTAGAAGTAATACATACCTCCTTCCAACTCTCAGCCAGCTGAGCGGAATAAATTATCACCCTTCCGCAGCGTAATCACCATCACACTCGGCCCCAGATGCCATCTGCTTCCTCAGTGAATCCCACCTAGGCAAGCTGGAAGGAAGCAGAGGACACAGGACATGGAGGTCACTGTGCTGGCCAGAGGCAGGCAAGGACCAGCAGTCACTGGAGCCACAGCCAGAGAAGGCCTTGTGGCTCTGCAACTCCCTGTGGGAGCAGACGTCTCAGGCAGGAATGTATCCAGCCCCAGATACAGTGCCATTTAATCCTCCCCTCTCTAAGAGACCCCTCCTAATCATATAATGTCCCGCAGGGAGAACCTGAGACTAGGCAGAATCAGAAATAGCCACAGATAGGAAGTAGTAGCACCTAGCATTGTCAGGGCCTCAAGGCTACAGGTTTGTATACTTACCTGTTTGTCTGCCCTGCCGCCTCTCCCGACATACAGTGATTCTCTTATCCTCTGTACTGGCTGGGGACTGTTCCAGGTGACATCTGCAGACAGCAATATTTTGGGAGCATCGGTTACAGCAAGCAATCGCCGTTGTGGAGCCTGGGGACGCCTGGTGTGGTCCATGCTCTCTCTCCTTTGCCTCTTCTCTGAGCTATGCCTCACATGTGTCCACACTGAATACCTCCAATAAATCTGCAGTCAGTGCCAGACCCCAGTTGGAACGTAGCCAGGCATGGCTCCTGTCACACATAACCCCATCTCCCGGTAAGGGTGCCAGCAGACAGAGCCAAGGTCCTATGACCATGCATCCCTGCCTGCGCTCTCTTCCCACCTCAAGCTTTGCCCTGTCCATCACCAGCTTCCTGAAGCTTGCCCTGCAGTTGGAGCACCTGCCTGTCATACAGTCTGTGTAAGCCCAGCTTCTCCGTGGAGAACTCAGCCCATCTCTGATGAGCTACAGAGGCCAGACCTGTCTTGGTCATCACTGCATGTTCATCAATGTAGTAGAAAGCAAAAGTGGGGGAGGAGTGTCTTTGCTGCCCATCATCCTCTCGGGAGTAAATTGGTGCTGCCAGGAGCAGATGTGTGTCACGTCAAAAGAATTCTAAGTTATTGAAACATTTTAAATGCCATATTCTGTAGATATTTGAAGTGTTTGAAGATACTTATCTGAAATATATCTCTGTATATCTAGAAAATCTAACTAACATGACCTTAAGTTGGACTATTATAGATGACTAACAGTATTTTTATAAATCTGTATTTCTTAATTACACATTATATTTTAATTGAGCTAGATAAGCACAATATACTAAACAAGAGTAAAAATATATAGAGAGTATAACAAAATTAACCTTAAACTTATATCAATAAACTAAACCCCATGTAAAATATTTTGAGATTAATGGTTATTTTTTTGATTAAAGTAGATTTAATAACCTACCCTTTTATCCTATTTCTGTATCAGAGGAAGGTGAGGAAGGAAAGGGGGGAGGGTAAACTGGGGGGAAAGGAGAAAGAGGGACAAAAGGAGGAAATGTGGCCGCTTTAGAAACACCAAGTGCCTGGTGCCCTCAGTATGCCTGCCTCTGTGGTCTGGATTTGTCCTTGGTCCACAGGCCATACCTAGCTGATAAAACAAGGGTAGAGGGTTTAGTGCCCCCAGCATTTAACCTCCACAGAATCAGAGGTCCAGAGGGGCAAGACAAACTCACAGCCAGCAACCCCATGAACTTGGCAGGGGAACCAGCTGGAACAGCTCAACATGCCTAACGGAGGAGCCCGAAGCATGTCACGCACCTCTGCATCCCAGGGCCCCAGGGAAGTGACCAGCCAAAGGGTCCCTCAAACCCTGCCAAAGCTGTCTGGGGGCCTACTTTGCCTGTCTCTGCTCACACTAACCACTTGGCAGTTGGTGTTTAAGGACGGATTAATTCCTGAACAAAACAGATAACGTAGGCAGTGTGATTCCTCATTTAGCTGTCAGATTGGGATAAAAAATGTACGCGAGAGAAAACCCAAGGGGGGAAAAATTGGATAATGATGAATTGTGACTGAATGCGCCAAAGAAACACACACCATCTCCCCCATCGTGTTGTGCCCGCTGTCACTTAATTTGAAATAATCCTAAGTGTGCAGGCTTTCTCCTTGGCACTTCTTGATCTTCGAAGAGCTTGGTGCACCTTAGCTGGTTACACAAGCAGAGCAAACGTCCCCTCAAGGTGTCCTCCTACCCCCCTCCACGCCACCAGGTCTTTCACACCCCAGAAGGCTCCTTGGCACAACTTCACAGAGTTGGAAAGAGGCTCACTTGGAAAGGACAGGGAAGAACAAAGACAAACTTTGGAGATGACAAGTGTCAACGATACCTGAATCTGAAAATGTTTTCCAGAGTGGAGCATCGTGAGAAGGCAAAAGGAATAGATCCAAAGAGCTTCAGAGATCTGGAGTTGCTCAGGAGAACTGAACAGGACGAGAGTGAATGCCTTCCTCTCTTGTTTTTCTTTTGGCCACACAGGACCAGTGAAAACTTAGCAACTCAGGGATCTCTTTGCAGCCTAGGCCAGCAGCCTTTCCCCCAAAAATCCCAGGACCATGTGCTCTAACCATGTGAGCGTTATAGTTCTGATGACAAGTAAAACTAGATAAGCTGCCTGCTAGTCCAAGAGCCTTAAGTCTGAAGACCGTGGTGGGACATAAGGAGTTGAAAAGTCAGTTTATTTGGAATGATCTGTGATCTCAAACAGCAGCAAGAATAGGTTACATACTAGGAGACTTCAGGTACATCTTTTCCTTTGTGCAACAGAGGGTGGGTGTGGACCGCCTCCAGATGTCCTTCAGTGACTAAATGTAGCAGGCTTCTGGAACATTCCCCCAAAGCTTAAACCCAAGTCTACCCAAAGATGCCTAGAAAATAGGTCTGGAGGTGACCCATCCCATGGGAGAGAGGAACATAGCCCATTCCCTAGGCAGATTCAAGGGTGGTCAGACATGGGGAGCACACCAAATGGCCTCCCGCCGGCCTTGGGAAGCAAGAACTGCTGTTCAGTTTTGTTTATGGTTTTATTTCTTGTGAAGAACCTGAGAGATGGAATCCTGGATAGACCTCGTGCTTGTGAGGGAAGTCCTTTATCACTGAGCCACACCTGGACCCAGAATTCCATATTAGAGATGGAAATAGAGGCTCCGCAAGGTCCCTTGCCCTGAAACTTGGGGTCATGATGGCATGCGCGCTACCACATCCAGAGTTCTACCTCCAGAGTATCTCTGGGCTCTCCACGGATCTCCATTCAGGGCCACCATCGTAACTTAAGCCACCACTGTCCCTCCCTAGAATTGCTGTGCTGACCTCTAACCTGGTTTTCTGTCCCCAGGATGGATCCAGGCCACCAGGAATGAGGTAAAGATCCTGTGGCCCTTGCTCCTGTGACTCCCCTTTAACCCTTTGGTCCTGGCTGAAATCCAGCTCCTGTGCCTGAGCAGCAGCCTCCCCCACTCTCTGCCACCTCCTCACCCTCGCTTCTCACCCCTCCCCCTGCACAGCTCTTCCCGGGTTGAGAGTTTCCGTGGCATCTCAGTCTGTCTATGCTGCTCCCTCTGCCTGACGCTGTACCCTTTCCCCTTCCTCCCATTTGGTCCTGTCACTTTAGCCTCCCCCCTGGGCATTTCTCCCTCTTCTAGCAGCTTTGTGAACCACCCCGCTCCAGTCACATTCATTTCCCACCCATCTCTCGTCTGCCAAACCTGCGGCACCTCCTGCCTGGCATTCTACCAAAATGACCCATGTGCACTGCAGCCCTCACTCAAAGTAAAAGGGTTGCAGCAGCCCATCATCTAACTCTGAGCACACAGCACCATCCAGCACACAGTAGGCGCGCAAGGGCCATATGCTAGACAAATGATAGAATGAACAAATAAACCAATGAGAGGGAGCTTCCCTTCTTCGCATTCCGAATGTATAAAAAGCAACCACAAGTCCATCAATAAGGCAGGCGCGCTCCTCACTGCCCGTCCTTGGCTGGGAGCCGGTGATGGATTTGCGGAGGTGATGCATGGGAGCGTGAGAAGGGCGGAGTGGACGCATGGAAGAATAGAATATAGATTTCTATAGATTAATCATTTGTCATGCCTGCCACTGGGCACGCTCTCACCCTCCCTCTCTCTTTCCCTCCCTCCCCAGCTCCCCCAACACACACATACACTCACCTCCCAGGAAGCACCACTCACACTGCCCTTGGACTGAGCAGCAGGGGCAGGCACTCAACATACAGGGGCAGCTTCGCAGATGCATGCAGAGACACCCCAGCAAATCTGCATGGCACAAAAGTCCCAAGCATGAAGATACAGATTCAAATTCATCAAATCTTTATTCTCAGTTTCCCTAGTACACACACACACACACACACACACACAAGTGCACTCACACACGCACACACATTCATTCACACACAGTCTTTGCTCTGCAGACCCACAAGCCATGTGGGTGCCTTGTGTTTTGTGAGCCCTTTGGGGCCATCTTGGGGCTGATACTCCCTGCCTCTTTATGATCTGAAGACAGCTGGCCCTGCTCCCTCTCCCAGGTCCTCCTAACTCACAGGTTTCCCCCATACTTGCCATCCAGTCAACCTCAGAAACTTTGACGTTTTGCTTCATGTTTGACAGTAACAGTTTTTTACTCCTCATCCCTGAGTCTCCATCCTGGCTTCCAGGCTTTGAAAGCTATATTCTTAAATTCCCATGCACGCTCTCCAAAATCAGAAGCCTGGGCATCTATGTCTCCTGAGTCTTATCTGCAGTGGTCCTCTCAGAAGGTGAATCACTGTCCACTAATTCACTAATGAATGACTGACCTTTCTAGGTTATTTCCAAAGGGATGGATGGTTCCTCCTCCAAGGCCTTGCCCTGTGGAGTTGACCATCCACAGAGACCCGGACATTCACAAAAGAACTGAATCCAAGGGCTGATAGGCAGTTCCAAACAAGAGAGCAGCTGTTGTTGGCTGCAGCCTAGCAAGCAATGGCCCCAAGCAGGTCTCAGTCACATCAAAGGTGATAAAGAACTTGCCGCAAGGAGCCCTGGCTTATGCCCTGCTCCCAAGCTAGCAAGATCTCTACGTGTGGACAGAGGGCAGCTCCTGAACAAACAAAAAGATGCACCTTAAAAACTAGGACTTCAGTTCCCCACTTAGATGCCACAAACCAACTCCCTCACCAAGGAGCTGTAAATGAACCTCTGGGTACACTGGGTACTCAGCCTCACAACCGAGTCTGGGAGGGAAGGGTTTTCTTATGTTCTGCTAGACTCTGCGCCTGCCTTGGAGAGCCCCTCCACGCTAGCGTCTATGGATGTGAAGGCCTGGAGAAAGGGTGGGCCATGAAGCCGCATTCCTTTGCCTTTGATCTCATCTGCACTCATGTTGCTCCAGCATCCAGATAGGGATGTCTCTTCCCATCTCCCTTTGAAGTCTGTAAATAGAGATGACTGTAGATTGCAGCCATTTCAGCCGCCTGGAGAGGAGTGGAGTGGCGCTTTCTCGGGCCTCCTCCCTCT